AATGGCTGTTGGAACGAATTAATTTCGTAAGTAGAGGTACCACTGTACTAGTGAAGTGTTGGAAGTTTTCTAGAGGACACATGACAGACAATTTAGTGGAGCCAGACACCAAACAAAGAGTACATTGGTATGGGAAGGAAGAAGGGTATCCCTTACTTCCCTGCATCCATCTGGACTTGAAGTGAGAGGCTCCAACAAAAGGCGCTAACCCTTTGGACACAGGCTGGCCTTCCTCCAAGCTACTGAGCAAAGAAATAAACCAGAAAGCACTATTTGCTGGTGAGGCAATTTCATAGCGTGGTATCCTCAGAGTTTAAAGCTAAGTCTTCTGGCTACTAGACAGTCCCTTAGGTAGACAAAGAAACAGACGAGAAAGTTCATCAAGCTCTTCAATGAGTTACTTTCAATACTTACTTAAGGAGAATGCACATCTTTTAATAGGCTATGCAGCATGATCATTTATATGTTTACTTGTGGCAACTCACAAGCTTCCGTTTTCTATCCGTGCAATATTATGGGGGCCACACTGACTAATACATAAAACAAAAACGAAAATCTGGAAATAATATTCCTAATTATTTGTTTCCAAGTTTTAAAAAAAACAACCCAGGGAACTCAGAAGAATGGAGCAATGGCACATTTGTGCAGTTTGCCTGATATTTGAATGTCCCAAAGTGTTGGTGATGACCTTTAAAGCCCTACATGGCTTGGGACCAACCTATCTAAGGGATCGCCTTCTTCCATATAATCTGCCCCATGCCCTCAAGTCCTCTGGGTGGAATTTACTGCAACTGATAAAAACTAGATTAGAAGTAACCTCACAGAGGATGTTTTCTGCCGCCGCTCCCAGACTGTGGAACTCCTTGCCGGAGGAGATCCGTCAAATAATCAGCTTGGACGGCTTTAAAAAAGCCATCAAGACGGATCTCTTCTGGCAGATCTTCCCTGAATAGATCACCTCACTTAACTTGGTCTCCCTTCTTTTTAGACATCCTCTCCACACTTTTACTGGTGTCCCAGAATGTTTTAATCCGATGCTTTTACTTTTGTATTTTATATATATTTTAAAAGAGGGTTAACTGTTATTTATTAGTATTGTTTAGTACTGTTTATTTTGGGCATGTTTTATTTAAATTTAATTTTATATGTAAGCTGCCTTGATTGCCACAGCAAAAGGCGGGATATAAAAATAAAGTATTATTATTGTTGTTATTGTTGTTGTTATTGTGGAGAACTTTGGGCAAAAACATGTTTTCTGAGCAGAAAACAGGTTACTTCACAGAAAACATATTTTCTGCAAATCATCATCATCTTCATCAACATTATCACCACATTCATTTCTCCATAGAATAATTCCTCCACAACACTTTGGGACATTTGAATATGGGAAAAATACTGCAGAGAAATTTTTCACCCTACTGCAGCGGGGAGAAAACTATAGTAGTTTTTCAGCCTCACAAGCGAGGATGAAACAATTGAGGACTTACATCACTGTCTGGAAATGACTGGAAATCTACTTCTAGTTTTAAAAATGGATGTAATTAGGTTAAAGGGCTGCATTTGTTTTGTTTTTTGTTTTTTAGGTCTGCAGTTTATTTAAAAGAAGAACAGCGGTGTGTGTGTGTGTCTTTTTGCCAGAAAGAAACAGCAAGCTGGAGAACGTAGAGGCATCAAGGGCCATGCTTTGTTCAGCCCTAATTTACATGAAGGAAAGTTACAATGAACCCAATGGGAAATATTCTCTAATAAGACTGCTGCAGAGGACCATAGCCTCATAAGAGAAGGGTCTTATGTTGCACCCTATTTTCCTTTACTGAAATCCTTATTGATACAAGAGGTATCTTATCAAGCAGGAAGAGTTAAATACAGTTTTCCTTCCCTGAATTCTAAAAACAAAGCAGTGATTTCAAGATGCTTAAGGAGAGAGACTTGCTACCTCTACCTCTGCCATATGTACCCCAACCTATCATCATCATCATCATCATCATCATCATCATTTTATTACCCATCTCTCCCCATGGATCAAGGTAAGGAACAAGACAAGCAACATCAGTTAAAACATACATCAATTTAAAAGGACAAATAAGATGTTCACATATCAAAATAATCCACATTTAAAATTCACAGTTTAAAAATCATCTAGATAAGTCTGCCAGAGGAGACTGGTCTTTAATGCTCTTTTAAATTTGGACAGCATATTCAGCTGTCAAATTTCTTCTGGCAGGTCATTCCACAGTCTAGGGGTGGCAAAGAAAAAGTCCTCAGGCTGACTGGAGTAACATCTCCCAGAATACCTGAGTGTATAGCAATAGCAAGTGCATTTTATACCACTTATCAGTGCACTTAAGCACTCCCTAAGCAGTTTACAATGTGTAAGCTAATTGCCCCCAACAATCTGGGGACTCATTTTAGCAACCTCAGAAGGATGCAAGCCTGGACAACCCTGAGCCCCTGGCTGGTATCAAACTCACAACCTTATGGTTTGTGAGTGAGTGGCTGCAGTACAGGCAACCACTGCACCACTGGGGCAGATTAAATGGAACAAAATAATCCGATAGGTAACCCAGATCCAAACCATGTAGGGCAGGGGTAGGCAACCTTTCCCCTTTAAGGGCCAAGGGACTTCAGCTCCCAGAATCCCAGGAGCTATTGGCCAACATAGGACTATTGGCCAACAGGGCTGAGGCTTCTGGGAGCTGAAGTCCCTCAGCCCTTAAAGGGGAAAGGTTGCCTATCCCTGATGTAGGGCTTTTAAAGGTAATAACCAACACTTTGTACCTTGCCCGAAAACTAACTGGCAGCCAGTGGAGTGATTTTAATATGATCTCTCCTGGATGTCCCAGTAATCAATTTGGCTGCCATGTTTTAAACTAACTGAAGTTTCCAAAATTGGTACAGAGGTAGCCCAATGTACAGCGCATTGCAGAAGCCCACCCTTTAGACTACTAATGTATGTACTACCATCTTTAGGTCCTCCAGCTTGACTAGACAAACCTCAGTGCTTGGTTCCTTGCCTGGACAAGATGCAGACATCAACCTTCCTTGCATGTCTCCCCAACCTTGTTTCCGGTATCTATGATTATTAGCCTAACTGTTCCTCCTTCCTCCCCTCCAGTGTCTGCCAGCTTCCTTATCTGTTTGCCTGTCCCTGACTCCCACGTTCACACAAATCTCCTGTTCACAATCCTGACAATGGTGAACTTTGCCTGTGTACTGCTCCACATGGAGATCTACTCCAGCAATCCCTTGGTCTCTAATTCCACTTTTGCTCTGCAGCACTGAAAGTGACTGTGGGAAAGAGATGGGCCATCTGAGGAAGGAAACTACAGAGAGCCATGTACTATCCACATTCAAGACCAATGGGAATCCACTCAGGAGAGGGCATAAATCTCCTGAGTGGATTCCCATTAGTACTGAATGTGGATAGTACATGGCTTTCAGTAATTTCCTTCTTCAGATGGCCAGTCTCTTTCCCACAGTCATTTTCAATGCTGCAGAGCCAAAGTGGAATTTCATCTTTGAATGCAAAGGTGGTATTATTCTTGAGAAAGGTTTTGTACCAGTAAATTAGAGCTGCTGGTACTAAGGAAGATTCAAATGTTGCAGGAACCAGTCATCAGTCCTTTGCACTGGAGGGAAGCCATTCTGACAAGAGACTAGTACTGGGAGGGAACAAACTGAGTGCCTTGCCAAACCAAATAAGAATCCTGCTCTCCACATTAAATTTTCCTTCAGTCCCTAACTTTTCCCTAGCATTGCAGAGAAAATCATTCACACCTAAAAATCTTTGCTGTGTTTGCATTCCCTGGGTCATTTTACCTGACTCTTTTCTCAGGAGCCCTAACCTCTATTTCAAAATGCTCAACTGCAATTTTAAGTTACTGCAATGCTAGAAATTTGGGGGCTCAAGAAATTTTTACAAGAGGGCATTTTATTTTTATTTTAGGGGGCTATGCCTTCATTCAAGAGAGCCAATGTGATGTAGTGGTTTGGGCATTGGACTATGACTCTAGAGACCAGGGTTCAAATCCCCACTTGGCCATGGAAACCCACTAGCTGACCTTGGGCAAACACTCCCCGAGCCTCAGAGGATGGCAATGGCAAAACCACTCTGAAGAAACTTGCCAAGAAAACCCCATGATAGGTTCAATGTGTGGGAAATAACTTGAAGGCACACAACAACAAAATGCCTTCATTTGGCCCCACGCCATAGCTACACCCATGCTTTCTGATGATATCTGTCTAGACACCATCCCTCAACAATGACCATCTCAATACAGTTGGCCCTCCACATTTGTGGCTTTGACTTTTGCAGATTTGATTATTTGCATTTTAATTAATATGTTATCTCTAGGGATCTCTAGGTCCTTCAGCACAACTCTGCCATAGAGTTGACCACAGAGTTGTGCTGGAGAACTTAGAAGTTACGAGAGAGAATACTTCTCTAGGCATTTGTAGGTCCTCCAGCATGATTCTGTAATCAACTTCTGGCAAATGTTGACCACAGAGTTGCACTGGAGGACCTGGAGATTCCTAGAAAGATGTTCTCTGAGGTAAAAAGAGTGTTTTTTTATTTGCTGTTTTCCCACATTCATGGGGGTCCTTCACCCTTAACCCCAGCAAATGTGGAGGGACCACTATACTAGTCCCAAAACAGCACAGAAAGAGGGTATTCCTTGCATTTGGGATCACACCCCATCATGCAAGGCATGCTTTGAGGAACAAGGAACACAGGTTTCCACTAACAGAGAGCAATACCAAGTGACAAGGTTCAAAGTGCAAGGTTGACAGCTTGAAATTAATCTGCTTGATATCAAAGTCCTGGCTATTTGCTTACAGGAAAGGACAGATACGGTAAGTGCTCATATCTACAATCTTCTGTTTAATAATGAAACCATAATGAACTATTATTTCTTATTTTGTTTTATAAATGACGAGGAGAGTACTAACCCTTCCAGGAATCAACAAATAACCATCCTGCTTTAGGTAGCCTCTGGGAACCTGCTGAACATAAATTGTTGCATGCAGACTTTCATGAAAAAATTGATAATTGATTTTTTTTAAAGGATACTGTGAGAAAGACAGCTGAAAATGTCATGGCTATGTGAAAATTAAAAGGTATTTACAAGAAAACCACAATGAGAGAGATCAAAGACCAAAAACTCCCACATAATACATAGTTTCACTTATTTATGAAAACAAAGGAAACTAGAACCAAAATAATATCTACAAGGGTGTAGCAAGAAAGTATCTTTGTTTGAGTAATTGCTATTGATTTCACCAAACCTGTATCTGAGATATATATATATATATATATATATTATCAGCAAGGTCATCCAACATCCTGAGACTACCTAAGTCTGGGTCTGTTTAGCTCCAGCAGATGGCATGACAACAGGTCCCTCTGTGTGCAATCTGCTAAAATATATGTATATTAAAGTTCTGTATCCAGCAAATTCTGAAGGAAAAGCCACTGAACTTTGCAAACAGTACAAATTATGCAGAATGACATGAATTCTCATATTTTTGCATATTTTTTTCTGCTATTGTTAGTATTGCATAACACATACCATCTGTGCTAATCAGTATGCAAAGGGATCTTGTAACACCTTTGAGACTAACTGAAAGAAAGAAGTTGGTAGCATGAGCTTTCATGAGCTTCCTCAGATGCATGGCTGGAGGGTCCGGGAACAGACCTATATAAGCAGGCTGTGTGTGAGAACAGCAATAGAAATGCAAAACTTGTGGGTATGGTGATAAGATGACAAGTTCAGTTTTAACAATGGTCATTGGGGGACAAAGGCAGGATGAAAGATGTTGCCTAACTGCCAAGGTGAGTAGATAACCACATGAATGGTGGTGGGAGTTGTTGGAATGTGATGTGATGCTGGCTGGGAACCAGAAAGGAGATATGATGAACTGGCTGAGGGCTGGCCTACATTTAAGTATGCAAACTGCTCCAGATTTTTGCAAAATCACATCAGTGGTTAATTGTCTTCACTTTCCTGCACAAATCTGAATCTGTTCATGTGTATTCACCCACCCTCTGGCAAAAAATGCACAGCCATATGAATCCATCCTAAGCACAAATGTTGTTTCTGACTTATGGAGACCCTGAAGCAAAGCTATCACAAGGTTTTCTTGATGAGCTTCTTGGGGGGGGGGGTTGCCATCGCCATCCTCTGCAGCTGAAAGAGTGTGACTCGCCCAAGGTCACCCAATGGGGTTCCATGGCCAAGTGGAGATTTGAACCCAGTCTCCAGTCATATCCAATGCTCAAACCACTACACCACACTGGCACTTTCTCTCTGAAATGATAGCCATCTTTAACTATCTGAAGGGATGTCATGTTGAAGATGGAGTGAGCTTGTTTTCTGCTGCTCATAGACTAAAGTGAGAACCAATGGATTCAATTTACAAGAGATTCTACCTAAACTTTAAGAACTTCTTGATTGTAAGAATTGTCCAACAGTGGAATCGACCAAATCAGAGGGTGGTAGACTCTCCTTTTTAAGTCTTTAAATCGAAGTTACATGGACATCAAATCTATGTCACTTGAACATTTGTCTATTCCTTCAGAATCACCAGAGGTTGCTCCTGCTATAACCACTTTCCCAGTTTGATAGTTTTCAAGCCTGTGAATTCCCTAAAACATTAAACATTGAGAACTTTTAAAATCAACATTTCCACAAGTAAATGCTACACAGCTGTTTCCCATGAAGGTAAAGTATTGACCTATTCATTAACAACCACTTTATTCATTACCCCACTGATACACAGGTCTTTGTGAACATTAAAATAAGTCCTTTATGGTTATCTTTTACATTAAAGAGGAATTTGCTATTTGACCAATGGATGACTACTACTCAACTGGAATTTTAAAAATGCACTGTAAACATAATGCATAGAAAAAGAAGCAGCTCAAGAAATGTCCCATCACATTCCTTTCAGCAAAGGATTAAAAATTTTAAAGATAAATATGAGAGCAACGTGAGTTTCATTTGCCTTTGTCTCTGGTGACAAAAGCAACACATAAAGAATGCAGTATCAGAGACACACCTATAAGCTCTCAAAGCAATATCAGTCTCATCAAGGAATTCACATCATGTCACCTTGAATGCAGGGATTTCAAAGACTATCCAATGGTTTAACATTCTTTTTACAACCACCTTTCTTGGTTTTCTTACTAACTTCCAAAATACCCCTCAACAAGAGAGATGGAAAAGTTGCTTTTGAAAAGTAATGTGTTAACCACAATCATTCCAAAGCGGGGGAAATTTTGTTATTTAGCCTTACCATTATGAAGGCATACAACAACAATGGACAACTGGTGCTTCTTCGGGTACAGCCACCATCAGCTATAAAACTGTTGCTTACTACTATGAAACTTCCTTTCTAGCAAATTCTAACAGACTCTTTCACTTTAGGTTTTCAGGATTTTCGAGATTGCTGAAAGCCTTTTATCCACCTCAGTGGCTGATCCCAACCTTTGGAACTCCCTTCCACAAGAGGCTAGGCTGGCCCCTTCCTTGTTTTCCTTTTGCTGGCAGGAAAAGACATTTTTATTCAAGCAGGCTTTCAATATAAAATCTTTGTCAAGGAAGCTTTTATATAGGGAATGCATTCTGTTTATGTTCTTTATCTTTTGTATTGTTTAATGTAATTTGATATTGTTCTCGTAAGATTTTTTTTTTAATTTTTGCAAATTTTTAACTGATTTTATCTGTAAGCCACCCTGGGTCCCTTTCTGGGAGAAATGTGGCCCAGAAATGAAATAAACAAATTAATAAATAAGAAATAGTCTGAACCTAAAGGAGCTATTCAAGGTGCTGAAACCACACAATGACATGAAAGGACCAAAAGCCACTAAACTACACCCTCTCCTTTTATTCCACATATTATATTCTTCCCTGCTAAATATCTTTATTCCCAAGGGGCTCAAATGATCAAGATTTCTACTCAGTGGCATCTGGAGCAACCCAATAGTTAATCCATCCCACCCTTGTTTTTGAACTGAGGCCCTTCTAAATTAATTTTTTGCAGCCAATTGGAGGGAAATCAAACAGGGCCACAAAAGGGCAGACTGGTTTGAGAGGAAACCCAAGTCCATGAGCAAAAGGGAAAGTCCCAGCCGAGAAAGTGTTCCCAACTCCAGCGACAAAGCACCAAGGTAATAAGAAGATAAGCAGACAAACAAGTTAAGCACTTAAGTGAGTTTAGCAACATGATTATACGCTCCGGCAAACAATTCTTTCCCTCTATGGATAATCTGAAAAATCCAGCTTTGCTTTCCAAATAAACAAATTATGAAGGAAGAAAAAAGAAAAACCACGGTTGTGGTTATATTATAACACAATATGTAGGTAGGGATAAGATAAGATTCACCTTATCCCTATCTATCTACCTAACTCATGTCCACAACTATTTGCTTGATGAAGGGAAGGCATTGATATATGCTCAGGGTTTGGTTCCCTTAGATCAGGGGTAGGCAACCTTTTTGAGC